TTACGGGGAAACTAAGTTGAATTTTACTTGCATTTTATAACAATTCAACGAATTTATTTTTCGTGCGTTATTGTAATCACTACTAAATAATAATCATCAATATCAACACTTCGAAAATAAGTAAGTTATTCACTTGTGACCAGCAGCATGGCCGGATCGAGCTACATGTGATCATTTGCTACTAAGCAGTGCATTCGTGTTTTTATTTGAAACTTCTCTTAGAATATACTTTTCGTTTCCAAGAAAATTAAAAAAAAAAATGCATATTACATTAAAAATATTTTTTGTATCATGTGGAATTTTTTTTTGATTGACTGTAATTTTTCAACATTTCGTAACGCCTATTTTAGAACCAAAATGAGGCCTTTCACTCTTCCCCGACGCCTATTCAAGAGATTGTACGGTGTATTGTTTGTTTTGTGTATGTGTTGTGTACAAAAAATGACCACGCCCATTTAGTGATTGCAATATGTACGTAATAGAAACCGCACCCCGAACTTGAGCTTTTGATCCCAATTTTTAAATTGATACATTGTAATATAAACCGCGGTTTATAATAGGACTTTAACGGTAACCAACGCTGGTTACAGTGAGTGTAAAGTAATAATATTATGATATTTGTTTCTTGATAAGTACTGAGTAATGTTTACAATAGTGCAAGTGTTTGCATTTTCATTTTAAATCTGTCGGCTATTGTTCATGGCCGATGAGGCAATGGCTATCAACCAGTCATGGGACTGGGCATGTTGGGTTTGAGGTTTGGTATACGCTTACACCTTTGGTTTTTTAAGAAATCAATATGAGTGCACACATTTATATGGAAAACAATCATAATATTATTACTTGACACTCACTGTAACTGCTATTGGTGACTAGGCCGAGTGATCATTTTGCTCCACTCGGCTATTACTGGTAGTACAACTTACTAGTAACTGATCATACCCATAGCCACTACCAATCTGACAGTCGTAACACATTATATAGGTACTAGAAAAGATAAATGTTTTACCACATTATTTTCTCTATTTGATGATCCTGCATACAAAAAATGCAATTACCGGTATTTGTGTGTGCTTTTATTGAAGATGTGCTTGTAATAAAGCAAATACAGTAATAGTTCTCTGAGAGATACAACTGTTCTCATGTTGTGTAAACAAAGGTGAATATTATACCCACCCATCACATGAAACATACACGCTACATCAAATTTCTTGCAAGCAAAATCTGAACAAATTGGTTCTTACATATTATTTTATGTTTCAAACAGGTCTATGCATCGCTACAAGTCCACCATCTCCTATGTATCCTAATTTAATAGGATATACATCTAGATCTCGTCAGAATTCATTTCAAGGTGAAGGGTCACCAACAAGTCAAGGTTCAGTCGTATACAGTACTTCTCCTTCTAGTATGGAAGGACCTATTACGTTTATTGCACCAGAATTACCGGAGGAGACTCTCATGGAGGTACATGTCTATCCTATATCATCTTGTATTGTCCAAGTGTTTCCCAAATCACTCTAAACCAATTAAAGGGGAAATTATAAATACACAAATGTGTATGTGTATTATTGAAATCATTATATAGTATGCAGTTTTCAAATTAAGTGTGGAAGTACCTGTTGTATTCAAATTTTGCTCTATGTTCAATAATATAATGTCTTATTTACTGTAGTAAAAATCTTTAAACTCACAAAATGTTAGTTTATTGAAAATATTTAGGAAAGATCATTACTATTACTAACATTCCAACCCAAAAAACTGACCAGACATATCCAGTATTTATTCTGATGTGAACAAGAATTTTCATTATATATTGTACTGTTTTGTTTCTTTTGCAGCCTGAACACAATGAAATACTAGAAAAGCTGACACAGCTGTTTGAATTTGTAGAAGGCATCATGGAAGTTATAAAATCCAAATCATCTCCACTGGCAGAATCACTCTACGCTAAACAAAAAGAAACTTTTTTATATGACGAAATATGTTCATTCAGTGATAGCCGAAGGTAAAATAACTCATCCTTAACTTATATGTAGTCAACTAAGTTGGAATACGTAATCACTGCTAGAAAACATGGAATTCTGAGTCACTTTCTTATAAAGTTTTTCTGAAAAATGTCCTGAAATACCAAAAATTGATATTGGAGTATCAGTGGTTTCATTACTATGAACAGAGCCCTCTATAGTAGGAATACGTGAAATAACTTGAGGGAGTACTATAGAAACGACTAATTTGTATTCATGACTGAGCAAAACAATAGCAGCAACTTACAATGGACCACTGTTATTTTATCAAGAATGAATATTTTAAATATTACTTTGACAGTCATTTGTTTATTTTTGTGAATGTTTTTTTTTTCAGGCAAGCGGAACAGTTAGTGTTATATCTGAGAGCGTTACAGATCTTATCAAATGCTTTATGCCTAGCAAAGGATGAAGTCAAAGCCAAACGATTACAACCTTCAAATGCAATGAAAACTGGTAAGGGATTGGTCAGTTACTTCGGCCTAGGGGGGGTCGGTGGATCAGTAGGGGGGGGTTACCCTGTTTTTGATTGTGCGAATAGGGGGGGTCACCCTGTTTTTGATATCATGTTTTCCAGAATTCACACACGCGCTCATGTATATATTTTTAAAAATTTTATTTCAGAACAAACGATAAAAAAGTTAATCGTACACATGTGTTCTTAATAATAACTATTACCTATATTGCCTATAAATTTGTTGATGCAAGAAATGTTATAGGCTAAATATTTTGAGGTTAAAGTTGCCAAATAACTAACAGATTATGCAATGCGGCTAGAACCCCAATTATACAGTTAAGTTTTAAACACATCCCAAGTCCATGTGCTGCTGATATCAGATTATTTTATTTAAAGTCTGAAGTCAATATTGTATAAGATATTTACTGGATTTATCCAATTATAACAGGAGACGGAAAGACAACACAGCAGTACAAAGAGCAGTGACAGTTTTTGTTCAGCAAATCAAAAAAGTTAAATTTGTGAAAATGCTGATATATAAATTAAAATAAATGATGAAAAAATAAATAAATAGTTTTTTTGTTTTTTAACTTTTAAATATGCATATTTTGCTCTGTAAAATACCAAAATCCAACACAAATTTAAGCAAAAATCAAAGTTT